TACATTTATAAAACATACACCAGAAGGGGAGTTCAATAAACCCTCATTAAAAAAAAAGTGTAGGTTGTGCCATTTAATGGCTGTTTCCTCAAAAACTGGATTAAAAATGTAGTCAGTTTCAAATAAAATTAACTCCAGTCTCCCTTTAAGAACTTTAACTAACACAAATCTACTCTATAAATATTTATAAAAATGAAACAGTATAAAGGACACTGCGATGCAAATCAATATAAATCAAAGAGGTGTTTTTGTTTGTCTGAAATCCTTAATCAGTGTTAGGCCAAAATCAGCCCTGGGGCAAATCTACTGAAGTTGTGGGAGCAATTTGTTTCAAGCACTTTAAAAACAATAATAAAGCAAAATTTTTAACATAGTCTTATTTTAGATTCTGCTGTTTCAAATAGAATTGGTTGCATGTATAATAAATGCACAGAAAAAAGAACAATCAACACACACCACCTTTTTTCCATTTTGCTGGATAGAAAAATCATATTTGCTAATTTTGTTGCTGAACCTTTTTTTGTGATTCAAATTATCCATCAGCTGTTTGTCCGTCTCCAGAGCAATCCCCCTTAATAATCAACCCAGTCAACCGAGACAAAAGATGACAGGGAATTGCATCTGGACTGTTTTTCTGTTCTAGCTGAGACAGAAAAAGAAAGAAGAGGAGATCAGAATATTATCTTTTGATTGTAAGAAAGAGGGTGCCATTACTCCTGGAGCAGGAACTGGCATCTGGCGTCTCTCTCTCTCTCTTTGCTTTACTTTAAAAAAAAAAAGAAGGTTGAAACAGCCATTTTTACAGACAGACATTTATTTCCAGGGAAGATATGGTTAAAACACCTTGCACTTTAAAAAAAACACTTGCTTCGCCCAACGTGGGGCTCGAACCCACGACCCTGAGATTAAGAGTCTCATGCTCTACCGACTGAGCTAGCCGGGCTGCTTATGCAATAGTTTAATTCAAGCCTGTGGAATAGACCTACAGCTATGTTTCTTAAATTGCTATTTCTGTCTTGCTAGCTTTCTAGCCCTGTGTTGAACTAATCCCAGGGAAGCTTCCTAAGATCCAACAGGCTCCTTTTCCAGAGTTAACCACCTTCTGGGAACCCCAGAATGTCAAGCCACAGGATGCAAAGTAATAGATGCAAAGAGCTGGGGGAATTACGAACAGAAGATAAGAGCAAAGGAAACAAGAAACTTCAGCAAAACATAAGAAACAAAAGGAAGTATTTCATCACCCACCACACAGTCAGCCTGTGGAACTCTTTGCCAGAGGATGTTGTGAAGGCCAAGACTATAATGGTTCAAAAAAGAACTAGATAAGTTAATGAAGGACAGGTCTATCAATGGCTAGTAGCCAGGATGGACAGGGATGGTGTCCCTAGCCTCTGTTTGCCAGAAGCTGGGAATGGATCACTTGATGACTACTTGTTCTGTTCATTCCCTCTGAAGCACCTGGCATTGGCCACTGTCGGAAGATAGGATACTGGGTTAGATGGACCTTTGGTCTGGCCCAGTATGGCCATTCTTATGTTCTTATGAACAGCCACACTGGGTCAGACCGATATTCCATCTAGCCCAGGGAAGGGTGAACTACGGCTGGGGAACCGCGGCCAATGGGAGCTTCGGGGGTGGTACTCGCAGGTGAGGGCAGTGCACGGCGGAGCCACCTGCCCCACCCCACCCCCAGGAGTCATTGCCTGACATGCTGGCCACTTCTGGGAGCGGCGCAGGGCCAGGGCAGGCAGGGAGCCTGCCTTAGCCCCACTGCGTGCCGCTGCCACCCTGGAGCCGCTCAACATAAGTGGCGCTGGGGCAAAGCCTGCACCCCAGACCCCTGCCCTGAGCCACCTCCTGCACCCCGCACCCTTTGCTCTGAGTCCCTTCCTGCACACCGCACCCCCTCCCACACTCCACACTCCCTCCCGCACCCCAGCCCTCTGCCCCAGACCTACATTCATGGCTCTGCATGCAATTTCCCCACCCAGATGTGGCCCTCAGGTCAAAAAGTTTGCCCACACCTGATCTAGCCCAATATCCTGACTTCTGACCAGGGGCAGAGGAGCCTGCCAAAAAGAGGAGGACCAGGGGCCCCCGCCCCCTCCATGGCACCATCCCTTCCGCCCAAGGCTCTGACCCCGGCCAAGCTGGAAGCCAGAGTGGGCTGGGAGCTGCAGACCCTCCACCCACTGGGATGGGGGCACCAAGAGCAGCTTTGGGCCATATCCCCGCCGTGCAGGCCCCACCATACAGGGCAGGTGGAGTGTTCACGGCCCCCCACAGCTACCAGCGCGGTTCTTACCCCAACCTGGCTCTGGCTGGGGAACCGGGCCTCAAAGCTGCAGCCTGGCCATGGTAAGACCACGCAGCCGGGCAGCTGTGAGGAGCAAGCGATCCTCCACCTGCCCTGGGTGGGGGACCTGGAGGGCAAGGACACAGGTCAGGAGCTACTCTTGGCCCCCCCACCCCATGCAGGTGGAGGGTCTGTAGCATGATGCTATTAACCTGGCCAGGGGGGCGAGGCCTCCAGGGGCCATGGTGAAAAGTGGATAGGCCAGGCCGATCCATTTTCAAAAAGTGGGAGGGCCATGCCCCTCCCCTTTCCCAGCACCCGTGACCCGTGCTTCCAACAGTGGCCAATGCCAAGTGCCCCAGAGGGAATGAACAGAACAGGTAATCAAGTGATCCATCCCATCGCCCATTCCCAGCTTCTGGGAGTCAGAGGTTTAGCTCAAAACAGCAAAGGGCGGGGCAAAGACTCAACATATAATACAGTTGCTTTTTAGTCATTATTTACCTATATTCCATGCATTTTCCTTTGCCTCGAAGGAAAAAGGGAAAGAAAATGACCCAGAGGTTGGGCTATTTGCTTTGGAAAAGAGATTTTGTGCAGGATCCTCCCTCTCCCTCCTGAGTGTGTCCAGGACACACTCTCCCTTACGGGATTTAGATGGAAAGTGACAGCTGCCGGGTTTGGGATCTCCCAGACCCCAGCCAGGGTCACGCTGCGAACAGCTGCCAGCACCATTTGCTGCTGATCGCTTTTGCTGCCCTGTCACAATTTGCTGTGTCTGCCTTTCCCCATCCTCTGGTCCAGGGGTACCGTATTGTGACGGATGGGGGGCTTTCCCATCATAATTTCCTCTCTCAGCTTTCTCCATCTGCTCGTCTGGGGCAGCAAATTATAGCGGCTAAGGGTCCACCTATTATAATGTGCTACCTCTGCCTTTCCCTATCACCTGGGATGGGGGTAGCAAATAGCCTATGCCTTAATCCAACCCTAACTACACTTGATCCCCTCCCAGGTTGGGGGTCTGGCAAGAAGAGAGGTGGGGGCAGCTATTCGGTAGCTGTTGTGTCCCTGCTCAGAGAGAGGAGGTTGCGCTCCATCTGTCTCTGTTTTGTGTCCTGGGTCAGGAGCTGCTGCCTCCTCCATTGGGATCTGGGAGCGGACACTGAGCAGCTGCTGCTCCCCCAGCAGGGTCTGTGCTGGGGAGACCTTCATCAAAGGCCCCTCTGTGCCGTGCCCAGCCCAGATGGATCGTTCACTGCGCCACAGCGAGAGATAGACTCTGCAGTCTGGGGGTCGGGGCACCTGCCTGGGAGGCCCAATCCTTTCCCAAGGATTCTGTAATGACTGCTGCAAAGTGTGACAGGTTCTTCAGGAGAGACTAAGGGACCCCCCCTCCCCATATCAGTATCTCTCATCACCTAGTTTAGGAAGCTCCCTGCCTAGCATGCTGGCTTTTGTAGATTCCATCCTTAAGTGCCTCGGTTTCCCCATGCACGGTACAAGGAGCCTAGCTGACTAATTCAGCCTTTCTGGATCCCAGGGTTGTTTCAGTGATTTTTCTAGACACCTAAATGTTAGGTATTGCAACATCACCATCGTTTTGGCCCTCCAGGGCTCAGTGGCAGCCAAGTACCAGACATTTGACAACTGCAGAACTGGTTGAAGCAGAGGGGGCTAGGGACCAGATGCCTGGAGAGCCCCATGCATCCGCCATTATCCCTCAGAATTTTCCGACGTTCACCAAACTCAGCAGCCTTCTCCCGAGGGCTGCCTGGAACACATCCAGAAATGTTAGAACTGATCAGGTGCAGCCATCAAAAGCTATTGCGTTGCATCCAAACGGCATTGCACTGAGTGCAGGGCCTCACTTTGCATGGCCAAAAATAAATCAGAGGAATACCTGGCTCTCAGATAGCACTTTTCATTGGTGGATTTCAAGGTGTTTTAAGGCAGCGGCTCTCAACCTTTCCAGACGACTGTACCCCTTTCAGGACACTGAGTTGTTTTGCGTACCCCCAAGTTCCACCTCACTTAAAAACGACTTGCTTACAAAATCAGACATAACAATACAAGCGTCACAGCCACACTGTTACTGAACAATTACCTCCTTTCTCATCGTTACCATATCCTTATAAAATGAATCGAAGCGAAAACCGCGTATAGTCAAAATTACATTGAGTGCAATGGCGGGCGGAATCGCCCACACTACAGGTATAGTATTAAAATGGTTATTTTTCTTTTTTTGGTTTTGTTTTTGTTCTTGCCGACCGCGTAAAGCTGAAATTGCGCATGTTAAATGCGCGTAAGATGCGACAGACATGTATTGTAAAACTGGGCAAATATCTAGATGAGTTGATGTACCCCCTGGAACACCTCTGTGTAATCCCAGGGATACGTGTACCCTTGGTTGAGAACCACCACTTTAAAGAACAGGTTATCATGACTCCTCTCTATCACTGCTCCACAGAGGTTCAAAAAAAAATGCCTCCCCAGCCTGACTGACTCTTCTTCCGCAGAAGGCGGGTGAATGGGACAGGACAACCAGATGGATTTTCCCCACAGACCCATAGAAGAGTCTGAAATCCCACAGAGCTGGCTGCTTTGGCATCTGCGGTCTGCGGTGCTCAGGGAAAGAGAAATAACACCTCCACGAGGCTTCCATGAAAGCCCATCTTGATTCATTATTCACGACAAGAGACGCTGAGAGGTTGAGAAACTATGTTCTGCTTTATTATTTCCAAATGAGAAATACAAGCTAAACCCACCTCCCCAGCCAGGGCCTGGAGCCCAGCCCAGCGCAGTGCATTTCTGTCCCAGGCCAGCACTGTGCTGCTCCCAGCTCCCGCGGGCACCAGGGAAAGAGAAACAAGTTAAAGCTGGTAGAAAAGCACAGACAGTCCGCGAGAGACGCCGGGATCCAGTTACAAGAGCAAATGCTCGGAGAGCAGGAAACCCCACGAGCTCAGGTTCGAAGGATGCAGTGTGGGGCGCGTGGGGTTCTCTCATTTGCACCCAGGACTCTGCAGTGGATGGGGGGGGGAATTAAAATGTCAGGGTCCTCCTCTCCCTCTGGCCTCATTGATGAGGGTGAGCTGGCTTCCGGGGAGCTCAGGCCTCGTGACTTCCCCAGATTCCTTCTTGCATCTGCCCAGCCTCATCCTCTCAGCAACGAGGAGACGCTGCCCTCTCCCCGCCTCTCCTCTTGGGGCGTCATTCATAGCCCTTTAGATTTCAGGGGTGTCTTCCCATGGCAATGATAGGACATTTCCTGTCTCTCTCTAGCCCCGCTGCAGCAAGCTCACAGTTCTCAGCATTGGCTATCTGGCTGTCAACAGCGAAATGTGCAGTTTTCCAGCTCTGTACCCCTCACCTCCCACTCCATCCCCCTCCCAACTGTATCTCGCATTGTTGCAGGGATCAGGCAGTACTTTCCTTCTCCATTTCAGTCTCTGCTAGATTTACCCTCTCAGAGGCACTCACCCTGTTTGTGCTGATACATATTGACAATTGGCATTGTTCAAACCACATGAAAATCTCACGATGGGGTAGAGGTGAAACTAAAATAGGAAAGGACTATTCTGGCAAATATTCATTTGCCTCATCACGTCTCCAATACACCTGAGCTACATCCCATCAAACCAAACTAATATCAAAGTATGTGACCCAACACCTTCAGGAAAGGAAACCCCATGATACAGGATGGGCTACGAAACACTTTTACATTCAGAAAGTGAAATCCCAGAGAATCTTCAGATTCACAATCAGGAGAACAAATTGACTCATTTTCTTCTGAGCTGGCTAACCCTGCTTCCCTCAGCGCCTCCTCGCTATTCGGTTGTGTTAGTTACAAAATGTTAGCCTCCTCACAACGAAACAGAAAAAAATAAATAAAATCAAAACCTTCCCCTCGACAAATGATCTGTACTTGGCTGTGAAAAGCCCAGAAGCCACTTTACCGATAGATGGAAACAGGGATTTAAGCTCAGAAGCCTCAGATCTGAACCCCCCCCCCAACCCCAGCTCAGGTCGGTGACACTTTCACCTCCAGGAGTCTAATTTAGGATCAAAGTGTGATTCCTATGCATGGAGAGCCAGGGACACTGTGGTAAGCGACACTCTGGGAGGTGGAGGAGTAGAATGGGGACAGGATAAAATTCTCCAAGGCTTGGACAGAGGCTGCTGCATCAAGGATGGAGCGTGACAGTGACTGGGGAAGGAGGGAATCGCTCAGACTCACGCCATCGCTCTCAAACAGCACAGAACCTAAAACACTGCCTTTTACTACCCTTGCTCCAACTCTTCTAGAATCCATTTAATTCTCATCTGTAAGAGAGAAAATGTACAAAAAGAAATGCTTGCCGGCACGGCCTGGATCGAGGTGAGAATAGCTGGGAGTGAGAGAATCTACACCCAAAGGGGGAACTCAGTGACTGTCACTCTGCTAATGGTGAGGATCAGAATGAATTAGATGCTCAGGCTCAGTCTAGGGTAGGATGAGTGGGGGAGGGTCAGAGGAGATGAGCTGGCTGATCCCGACCACAGACGGACGCTCAGAGGCTGATGCTGCGGATCACCAGGCCTCCCACAAAAGGCCCTGTGGGAATCAGTCCCACTCAGTGGCGCTGTCTGAATGCAGAGGGGGCAGGAAGAAGGGGCAGAGGGGGTGAATGATGAGGCAGCACCTCTCTGCCCCTGTGATCTCGCTCACCTCTTATCCCATAAAAAGAAGAACAGGAGTACTTGTGGCACCTTAGAAACTAACAAATTTATTAGAGCATAAGCTTTCGTGGACTACAGCCCACTTCTTCGGATGCATAGGAGGGAGGAGGGGGGTCTCCACCCACAAGAGAGAGTCTACTTAAACCTTTGGGAGACCCCTCCATTTTGTCTTCAGCTAGCTAAAGAAGGAGCCTCTCCACCCCCCCAGGATACTTGAAGGAGACTGAAACAAAGGACAGTAACTGCAGGGGGTGTGAGTGATTGCTGGACCCAGGCTAAAAGGAGATTAGCCTGTAAAAGGGAGCACTCTGGAACTGGTGAGGAAATTATCTGTATTCAGTTTGATTAGGCATAGATTCGCGCATTTTATTTTACTTTGCTTGGTGATTTACTTTGTTCTGTCTGTTACTAATTTGAACCACTTAAATCCTACTGTCTGTATTTAATAAAATCACTTTCTATTTAGTAATTCACTCAGAGTATGTATTAATACCTGGGGGAGCAAACAACTGTGCATATCTCTCTATCAGTGTTATATAGCGCGAACAATTTATGAGTTTGCCCTGCATAAGCTTTATGCAGGGTAAAACGGATTTATCTGGGTTTAGACCCCATTGGGAGTTGGGCATCTGAGTGCTAAAGACAAGCACACTACTGTGAGCTGTTTTCAGGTAAACTTGCAGCTTTGGGACAGGAGATTCAGACCCTGGATCTGTGTCTGGAGCCAGATGGGAGTGTCTGGCTCAGCAAGACAGGGTGCTGGAGTCCTGAGCTGGCAGGGAAGACAGAAGCAGGGGTAGTCTTTGCACATCGGATGGCAGCTCCCAAGGGGGTTTCTGTGATCCAGAAATGGGCTGTAGTCCACGAAAGCTTATGCTCTAATAAATTTGTTAGTCTCTAAGGTGCCACAAGTACTCCTGTTCTTCTTTTTGCGGATACAGACTAACACGGCTGCTACTCTGAAACCTCTTATCCCATGAGCCCCAAACACTCGATAGCCCCAGCACCCAGCTCCCCCTGCTTCCGAGCTCCCTCAGCCCCAGCCATTCAATCCCCAGTTTCCTCCCCACAACCCATTGCCCTGGTCCCTTAACGTTTGATCCCCCAGAGCCCAGTGCCCCGGGTAATTTGGGGAGGGGAGGAGTTACTAGCCCCCAGGACACTCCCCCTGCAGGGAACAGCCCCAGGTAAGTGGGGGAGCTCAGCCTAGGGGCTGGGGAAGTTCAGGGGTGGGGACAGGTGTCTAGAGTGAAGGTGGGGCCTGGCCCAAGTGTCCTTCTCCTCATCTCCATGGCAGGGGGATCCCGGCTGGGAGGGGAAGGGAGAGGGGGGATGTTCAGCCAGGCAGAGGGAGCAGCTGGAGGAGTTTCTCTCTCTCCCTTCCCCCACCTGTGGCCCATCAGCTCAGCAGCCAGGGCTGCAGCCGGGAGGAGGGGCTGATGGGGGCTTCTCCTCCTCTGCCTGGGGTTTGCTTAGACCCAGCAGAGCCAGAGGGTCACTGACCAGCTGATGCTCAGCGGCTGCTGGATCCTTGGGAGCCAAATGCCCCTGATGTGTGTGGGAACGAGGAAATGGGTTTGTCACCATGGCCAGCCCTAGTCAGGGCACTGAGAGAATTTCTCCCATGTGCGGAGGAGTCTCTGATGTCTGACATGGTGTTGGCTCCACTTGGAGCATTTTCCTTGCTAACGACATCTCAGCAGTTTCTTCCCTGCGCGGATTTGCTGTTGCCAGATACTAAGGGAAGCTTGCCCCACATTCAAGGTTTTTCTCTCTCATGTGGGTTCTCCAGTATTAAGTAAGGCCTGAGCTGTTATTGAAGCTTTTCCCACAGTCCAAGCATTTATGGGGTTTCTCTATTTTGTGGATTGGCTGATGCGTAACAAGGGCTGATCTCTGAATGGAACTTTTCCCTCAACAGACACTTCTGGGGTCTCTCTCCCATGCTGGGGTCTCCTGATGAGTATTAAGGGTTGACTTCCTATTGAAACATGTCCCACTTACAGGTTCTCTCTCCCTCATGAATTCCCTGATGTTTAGTGAGGTTTGAGCTGTGACTGAAGCTTTTCCCACAGTCCAGGCATTTATAGGGTTTCTCTCCCGTGTGGATTCTCTGATGTGTAATAACGGCTGAACTGACGTTAAACCGTTTCCCACAGTGGAGGCATTTATAGGGTTTATCCCCCGTGTGGGTTCTCTGATGCGTAACAAGGTTTGAGCTCTGACTGAAGCTTTTCCCACAGTCCAGGCATTTATGGGGTTTCTCTCCCGTGTGGGTTCGTTGATGTGCAAGAAGAGCTGATCGCAGATTGAAACATTTCTCACAGTCCAGGCATTTATAGGGTCTCTCTCCCGTGTGGGTTCTCCCATGTTTAATAAGGGACGAGCTGTCGCTAAAACTTTTCCCACACACAAGGCAGTTATAGGGTCGCTCACCCGTGTGGGTTCTCCGATGTTTAGTGAGGCTGGAGCTCTGACTAAAACTTTTCCCACAGTCCAAGCATTTATAAGGTTTCTCTCCCGTGTGGATTCTCTGATGTCTAATAACGGCTGATCTCACATTGAAGCTTTTCCCACAGTCCAGGCACTTATAGGGTTTCTCTCCCGTGTGCGTTCTCTGATGTGCAATAAGAGCCGATCTCACATTGAAACTTTTCCCACACTCTAGGCATTTATAGGGTCTTTCTCCTGTGTGCAGTCTCTGATGGGTAATAAGGTGTGAGCTCTGACGGAAACTTTTCCCGCAGTCCAAGCATTTATAGGGCTTCTCTCCAGTGTGGTTTTTCCAATGCGTAATAAGGTTCGTTCTTATACTGAAGCTTTTCCCACAGTCGAGGCATTTGTAGGGTTTCTCGTCCTTGGGATTTGTCTGCTGGGCGGTGGTTTCCTTGGGATCTGTGCATCCTCCCCCACCTTGAATTGATTCATCCACTTTCTTCCTTGGCTGGTTTCCCAGCTGCCTCTCTGACCCACCCCGATTTCCCCAGGCTTCTCCCTGTTCCAAGCATTGGGAAAAATTCCCTTCAGCTCCTCTCAAAAAGGCCGTCTCTGGTTCCACCTGCCAATTCACCTTCTTGTTCTCACTCACGGTCTCATCACCTGTTGGGAGAGAGAGAAAATCCAGACAGGAGTCACTGTCTGTGCCGGGGAGAAAGGACAGAATGGGGAATAGCAAAGAGAGAAAACACAACACAGTAACTGCTGGGGAGACTGAGAAATTGAATTCTGCCTCCACATCCCATCCAAACACTCACAGAGGAGTAAAGCTGGGGAGGAACCTGCATACAGCAAAAGGATGGGTGGGAAGCCGTGAGTGATATCTGTCATGGTGAGGCACGACTTGTCAATTACAGCCCTGACCTGGGTGAGATGGGGCAGACCTGGAGGAGCTCGTTCACAGCACATCTTTGGGAGTCTCGACTTTTTCCTTCACTCACCACACAGTTTCTATGTCCGTTTCACCGATGCCTCACCTGTGTGGATGACTCGCATGACCTCCTTTTTCTCAGAGGCCTGGAGATCTGGGACCCACGGCTCTTCCCCTCGTTCCAGCCAGGCGATCAGCTCAGGTTTAGGAATGGGAAATCCTGCTCAGAGGGTGAAATCAGACAAGATCAGGGTGCGTGGAGTACTGGGAGAGTATCTGTCACAAGGAACATTCCCTGAGTTTAACCTAGCCCCACGCGCTGTGCTGGGAGCATGACTAATCTGAACAGATGGGAGCATGATCACTGAGCCCCCTTGAGAGAAGCAGACATTGGGGGTGGGAGACCATCCCCTTACTAGGAGTTTCCAGGGTCTGTGCACTCTGGGGGATTCGCTGATGCAGACACAGCTCTTGGGTTAAACCCCTGCCTAGTTCTAAACCTCCAAAGCCCTCCCCATGGATGGAACTAGTCCTGGGAAAGGAGAGCAACAGGGATTCTGCATGTGAGTTAGAGTTAATAGAGATAGGACAATACATGGCTTCTGCCCCCTTGAAAGCTGGAGGGATGGGGATGAATTAGCACGTCCGTTAGGTTTACGACTCCCTGACCGCTTTGGAGGGGATAGAGATGCAAGTCTCTCTCACGCTGGAGCTGTGGACTATGGGACCCATTCCCCTCTAATCTAACTGACCAGGGAAGAACCTGACCAGAGTCAGAAATGCAGACCCCACGGCTTCTAATAGCTGAGAGGACAGGAATCCCTTACCCAGCGAGGTCACTGTCTCATAGTTCTCCTGCATGACGTCCCTGTAGAGGGCTTTCTGAGTGGGGTCCAACAGAGCCCCCTGCGCCTGGGTGAAATACACAGCCACATCCTCGAAGGTCACCGGCATCTGAAACAACAAGAGTCCCCCGCTTAGCACCTGTTGCCCCAGCCACTTTCTCACTACTCACATAAGAGGAAGGCAAAGAAACAGAAGCTCTTGGAGGACCAGAGTAGCAGAATCCCACCCCCGCCCCGCTCAGAACAGCCAGGAGGCTTCAGGAGGTGGGGAGAAGGTGAGAGTGCCTTGTCCCCCCAGCAGCTGGAGGAAGGCAGAGTCTTCTTATTTACCACATGCCTACCAGCCACAGGCTGATACAGGAAGCAGAGCTCTGAGCAGGGGACAGGGACAGGAATCCCAACAGCTTCCTTTTTGTATTTGGGGGGAAAACAGACGATACAGTCTCATCATATACACTCTTTCCATTCCACTAGTATTTCATGAGGATGTTTAACAGAAGCCACTAAAGCGGGGGGGGAGGATAGCTCAGTGGTTTGAGCATTGGCCTGCTAAACCCAGGGTTGTGAGTTCAAACCTTGAGGGGGCCACTTGGGAATCTGGGCAAAATCAGTACTTGGTCCTGCCAGTGAAGGCAGGGGGCTGGACTCAATGACCTTTCAAGGTCCCTTCCAGTTCTAGGAGATGGGATATCTCCATTAATGTTGTTGTTTTTTTTAATGTTTTAGACATTTTGTAATTAGCAGATCCAGATAATTTGCATCCAAGAATTTTAAAAGAGCTGGCCGAGGAGCTTGCCAGACCGTTAATATTGATTTTTTAATAAGTCTTCAAGTGCTGAGGAAGTTCCACAAGACTGGAATAAAGCTAATGTGCCAATTTTTAAAAGGGTAAACAGGATGATATGGGTAATTATAGGCCTGTGAGCCTGACACTGAGCCCAGGCAAGATAATGGAGGAGCTGATGCAGGACTCGATTAATAAAGAATTAAAGGAGGGTAATGTAATTAATGCAATTCAACATGGGTTTATGGAAAATAGATCCTTTCAAATTAACTTGAGATCATTTTTTGATGAGATCACAAGCTTGGTTGACAAGGGTAATAGTGCTGATATAATCTAGTTACACTTCTGTAAGGTATTTGACTTGATACCGCATGACATTTTGAATCAAAATCTCAAATGATACACAATTAACATGGCACACATTACATGGATTAAAAACTGGCTAACGGATAGATCTCAAAATGTCATTTTACAAGGGGAATCAACATCGAGGGCATGTTTCAAGTGGGGTCCCACAGGGATTGGTTCTTCGCCCTCCGCTAGTTAACATTTCTAAGAAATGACCTGGAAGAAAACAAAATCATCACTGATCAGGTTTGCAGAGGACACAAAAATTGGGGGATGGGTAAACAATGAAGAAGCCAGGTCTCTGATTCAGTGCAATTTGGATCACTTGGTAAACTGGGTGCAAGCAAAAAAATATGCATTTGAATATGACTAAATGTAAACGTACACATCTAGGAACAAAGACGGTAGGTCATACTTCCAGGATGGGGGACGCTGTCCTGGGAAACAGTGACTCTACGGGAGCCATGGTGGATAATCTGCGGAACATGAGCTCCCAGTGTGATGATGTGGCCAAAAGAGCTAATGCGACTGGATGTATAAACAGAGGAATCTTGAGTAGGAGTAGAGAGGTTATTTTACCTCTGTGTTTGTCACTGGTGCAGGCACTGATGGACTCCTGTGTCCAGTTCTGGTACTGACAGTTCAAAAAGGATGTTGACAAATTGCAGAGGGTTCAGAGAAGAGCTAGGAAAATGATCAAAGGATTAGAAAACCAGCCCTATTGTGATAGACTCAAGGAGCTCTATCTATTTAGGTAAACAAAGAAAAGATTACGGAGTGAGTTGATTGCAGTCTACACAGAGAACAAATATTGAATAATGAGCTCATCAGTCTAGAGGGGAAAGATATAACACAATCCAAGGGCTGGGAGCTGAAGCTAGACAAATTCAGACAGGAAATAAAGCGTCCATTTATAACGGTGAGAGTAATTCACCACTGGAAGAATTTACTAATTCTCCAGCACAGACAAGTTTTAAATCATGATTGGATGTTATTCATCTGCTCTAGGAATTATTTTGGGGGACTTCTCTGGTCTGGGTTATACAGTGGGTCAGACTATGATCAAAGCAGTCTCTGGAATCTATGGACTTATCAAAATTTCACAGCAGCCTCTGGCTAGTGGGTTCAGACTCTGGCACTGGGAGTCTGGTCAGTTTTCCCAGCCCTGCCCAGGGGGCCGTTTCCTGTTTCAGAAATGAGGGAATGTTTCTCTCCCACCCCCGCCAATGGGCCTGTTCAGAAAATCATGCCCAGGTTAATCATGCCCCCGCAGGTTTGTCAAACCCTGTCCCCTCCCTGCCTCACCCTGGGTTTCCTGCCCCTCCCTCTCTACAACAACTCTCCCCTGCAGCGCCCTGAAAATCCACTCCCTGAGCTGGCTTCATCACAGCCATTTCCCTTCCCTGTCTCCTGAAGACGGGACAATCTGGAGCAAAACGTGGATGTGATTCCTCAGCCTGTCAGGGCGAGAGGGGCGATGGGGGAGGTTTCAGAAGGGGCTTGAGTCCATTTCACACCCCGATTCCCCCCAGGCTCTCTCCCTACAGACAGACACTCTGGACTCTGCCATGCTGGGAAAACATTCAGTCACTATTACAACACTGACCTGGCCCCTCCCACCAGCACTGAACCCCCTGAGACACTTTTAAATCGCCCCCACTCTGCCCCCCTCAGTAACAGACTGTCTGAGCCAAACACTAGAAAAGACCAGAATCAAAGGAGCTGCGTTGGTGGATTCCCCCTGACGTTGGCCCCAAGGGCAGCGTCCAGCACGCAGTGGCAGTGACTCGACTGGGGCAGGAACTGGCTTTTCGTTTGTCAGCTCCTCCCCTTGTTCCCAGGAGAGTCAGTCGGCCCAAGGGTGATGCAGGGAATGGATCCGGGCAGGGCTGGGAGCTGGGAACCTCCCTCCTCACTTACTGCTCCTGCTGCCCCTTTCAGGTTCTTCTCTTTTCCTTCCTGTCCCCTTCCTTTTCTCTCCTCCCCTCTGCCTGGGACAACTGGTGACTGTCCTGTTCCCCTGGACATTTGCTCTCCAGTACACAGATCAGCTACTTCATCTAGAACATAAGAGCAGCCATACTGGGTCAGACCAAAGGTCCATCTAGCCCAGTATCCTGTCTTCCGATAGTGGCCAGTGCCAGGTGCCCCAGAGGGAATGAACAGAACAGGTAATCATCAAGTGATCCATCCTGTTGTCCATTCCCAGCTTCTAGGGACACCATCTGCCTGCACAACATCCTCTGGCAAGGAGTTCCACAGGTTAATTGTGTGTTGTGTGAAGAAATACTTCCTTTTGTTTGTTTTAAACCTGCTGCTTATTAATTTCATTGGGTGACCACTAGTTCTTGTGTTATGAGAAGGAGTAAATAACACTTCCTTATTTACTGTCTCCACACTCCTCTACTAGCAGGAGTGTGAGCCTGGGGGTGTCACCAAGGGCAGCAGCTCTGGGACTTACAGACACTCGCTGTCCCTCTACTACAAACTCACCAGCTGGTCCCTGAAAGGGGCCCTTTGCGCAGAGTCACTGTCTTGCCCGGCCCCAGTCCTTTCCCCCGCGTCTCTCTCCTCACCTGCAGGCTCCGGACACTGGAGAAAGTCCCCACCAGGCTGGGCAACGCTTAAAGCCCCCATCAACCCTCTCTTAAAGCCACCTCCCCCTGCCCCATCCATCCCCCTCCTGCCCCTGGCCTCACACATGCCTGTTCCCCCCTCAATTCCCCCTACCCCCCCTTCACCCCCCTCCCCGCTCCCCCCACGTGTGGCTGCCCCAGCACGGCCCGGGCTGGCTCCCCCCGCCCCGCACACACCGGGAGCT